TTCCTGCCTTATCTAAGCATACATCTACCTTTGACCTGGGAGGGGTGTTCCCCCCCTCTGCTTGAGCTAGCACCTAAAAATAGCAGTGTATCCGTCGCAGCACGGGTAGTAGCTTGGGGTAGCCGTCCTAGTACGTGCCCGTCGCAGACACATTTTTAGGCACTAGCTCAAGCCAGTAGGTCTATGCGAATCACACCTCCCAGCTCCAATGTAGACGTACCCTAAGTACAAGACAACAGATGGATACCGAAGACAGGGGAACACAAGGAGACAATGACATGGTATTGGTCAGCACGGTAGTGGATCCAGTGCATACGGACAATGTGGTTCATAGTCACCCGGGGGACATCCGCAGTGCTGTCAATTTCATCGCGGGCTGTTGTGCTCAGAACCCCTGGAAATCCAAGCCCCAGGTGGCCAGGGGTTTATTCCCCCCCACACACACAGAGAGAGCTAGCCCAAGGCTTAACCGAGGCTGCGCGGGGGTGAGCTTCGCCTCTAAATGAAGAGCCTAGTGGTTGAAGTGAGCAGGCCCGGCCCCCAACCCACCCAGAGCTGTGGTAGCGTGAGCAGCGCAGTTGCCAGCACTGCCAAACCCAACCATTTAGAACCCTCGAGGCAGGCCCCCCAAATCAGGAGACTGGCTTAAAATTCGTGAGATTTAAAGAAAAAAAAAAGCGGGGTGCTTTCTCTAGGCTTTCTGGTTTCTGAGCCTTTTGGATCACGTTCCCAAGTTGTTCTCTGCAGTCGTGAGAGTTAGAAACGTACTTTAAAAAAAAAAAAAAAGATGAAAGCTAATATTCTCGCCTGATCACCTGACTCCAGGAGCTGGAGGTTTGAAAAAAGCACCAGGTATTGTGAGACTTGCAATAAAATTGCAGCCATTGGCAACCCTGAGTAGTAGCTCCTGTGGGAACCAGATTGTCACAGCTGTCTTCTATTATTCCCCACCCAACCTTCACAAGCTCAGCTGAGAAAAGCCCTTCACTAAGGTGACAGGCAGGAGAAACTGAGTCTGACAGCTAACACTCCCCTCCTCATTCATTTTTACAACCTCTCCTCATTGTTATTTATTTATTCGATGGTAGCAAAGAGGGAGTCCCGGCTCGAGATTCTCCGGTGTTAGGCGCTGTACAAACACAGAACAGAGATACTCCCTGACCCGAAGAGCCTACAATCTATGTATAAGATGACAGACAAGGGATGGACTACTCCCATTTTACAGCTGGGGAAACTGAGGCACAGAAAGGGGCAATGACTTGCCCAAGTTCACCCAGGAGGACAACTGAGAATAGAACACCCCTCCCAGATCATAAACCCCTGCCATTGCCCTGAGCTGGGGCAATTAGCTATTAGAGTCGAGTACAATAACTTTACTGATTGGGAAATTGAGGCACAGAGGGATTAACTGTCTTGCCCAAGGGGGGAGGGATAGCTCAGTGGTTTGAGCATTGGCCTGCTAAACGCAGGGTTGTGAGTTCAATCCTTCAGGGGGCCATTTAGGGAACTGGAGTAAAAATCTGTCTGGGGATTGGTCCTGCTTTGAGCAAGTGGTTGGACTAGATACCTCCTGAGGTTCCTTCCAACCCTGAGATTCTAAGGTGAGTCAGTGCACAAAGCCGGGAACCGAACCCAAATCTTCCACACCCTACTCCAGCGCTTTAATCGCAAGACCTTCCTCCAGTGCCAACCATCTTCTCACCAAAGTCTGGCTAAAGGAACTCACACAGCATATTACAGCTCAACCGGTCAACCCCGGCCCCCAACCTACAGCTCACTGGGACCCTGGGCTCTGGCAGCGAATTCACTCTTTCCTTTCCTAGAGGGTTATAAAACAGGGCTAGAGCAGGCTTTCGGACTCCAGGATTACTAAATATTTTCCATTCATTTTAACTTTGAACAGGGCTCCAAGAACCGGCTTTATATATGTTATAACCTCCCGCCCATGTACGGCATTCAGCAACGCGCTGGCATGCCAGAGAGCTGTGCTGCCCCAATAAAAAAAAAAAACTCCAGCTCCTTTAATAATCACTAATGCACCATTTCCTGCTCGTTATGGAAATAAACACTGCCCTGAGCAAGTGGGATACTTTCAAACCTCCCCCCCCCTTTGCCCACCCAAGTGAAACTTTAATGAAGAAAACCTGCAATTTTCTATTGTTTCACCGTGGAACAATAAAGCTCCTGGAGGGAACTTGCTGCAGTTCTAATGGTTTTTCTTTTAGCAGCAAAAGCCCTGGTGCTGGCTGAGGAATGATGAGGAATCTCCCATCGCGTTCGACGGAGAAGCTCCAGTCACTGATTGTGGGCCCAGAGATGAGACCGGAGACCAGTTTTGGGCTGCAGCCCCATCCACAAGGGCCGCGGGTGATGGGAATTGGAGGCGAACGTGCAGGGCACGCTGCTTTCACCTTGACGCCTCGCGTGTCTTTCCAATCGGCGAACTCTTGACATTTTTCAGTCCGAGGTGGTGCCATCAGACCTTGTCCCAGGCTAAGAGCACCTGGGTGTTGAGGTCCACATTGCAAGACTGGAGGCTGGCTTTGAAAGGATGGCAAAGTGGCCCTCAAAAGAAGCACCTTACTCGTTGCAGGAGACACAGAGGTTCAGTTCCTGGTTCTGCTACAGCTCCCCGGGCGACCTTGGGAAGTCACTTGAAGCTAGGCTACTTCAAGTTCTCAGCACTACTGGGGTCCTATTTTCCAAAGAGCCTCTCTCTGTTCTAAGCTACTGAGGTCCTTATCCCGTACGTTTCACCGTAGCCTTGAAGCACCTTCCAGTCGTGCGTTACGTGACACGATTAACAGCCGCCATTCAGGCATTGAAAACGGAGCCAGATTTTCAGCAGTGCTCAGTCACTCTAGTTGCACGTCGGGAGTTGGGGAGCTGGGACCTTTGGAAAATCTGGCCCCAGCAGTCTAGATCTCAACTCCACCCCATTCTAGCCACTAAGCTAAACTTCCTCCCAGAACTGAAAATAGACCCCCCAAATTCTGACTGCCCGTCCCCCCAGCTCTAACCACTAGCCAACCCGGGAGCAGAACCCAGGAATTCTAACGTTCATTCCCCAGCCCTGACCACTAGACCACGCAACCTCTCGGAATGGGAAATAGAACCTAGGAGTCCTGCTTCCCACTCCCCAGCCCTGACCACTACACCAAACTTTCTCCAAAGCTGGTAAATGGAACCCAGGAGTCCTGACTCCCTGCCCCCAGCTCTATGCACCAGCCCACACTCCCTCACTGAGCTTTTGTCACACAGAATATGCACACCAGGGCTTTTATTTATTTTTTTCATGTGCTTCGGAGGCATTTCTTTTAAAGAAAACATCGCCCCACGGATTGCCATCAAGACAACAAACCCACCTGAATCCTTAAAGAAATAACTACTCAATAGGGCCTCTGTCACGGTGGGTTAATTTTAAGACCTCACAACTTTGAGGGTGTCCCCTGAAGACTAGGAGAATTCTGCTGCAGCAGTACCCACAACTTCCCCATAGCAGCCCACTCGAAGAATCTCCAATGCTAGCTACAGAACTGCAGAGCCGCTGGCAAGTACAGCAAACAACATGGCATGTTGCAGATGAGGGTTCGTTCTGCTCCTTATAAATAAGACCTGCTCCTCTTATTGGAGCGGGGGGGCTGGCTGATTATCTGATCCCCATTATCTGATCCATCCTCCTGCTGGTGCCCACTCATCCCCTAGGAGATTGTTTCTCTTCCCCCATGTAATCTCGGCCATGCCATCCACACTCAGGGAAACTGACAACCCCCCGCCCATCGGTTTGAGCGGAGACAGTGCAGTCTTTTGGTGTTGGATTGTGGGCAGATCATTATAGAACCCGACACCCTCACCCCCAATCTGTGCTCAAGCCACAGGGGATATACAGTATTACAGCTCCAAATTACAGACCCTTGGCGCTTCAGATCAGGCTGCAGCAGCTGATGCTTTTAGGTCGAGAGGTCCGCAGCTCAATCCCCCGTGCGCTGGTCCAAATGTCACCTGGCACATGGCAAGCCAAGCCCAGGGTCACCATAAAACCCAGGCAGAGCCAAAGGTGTCACACACTCATGCCCAAAATCTTGCAGCTGCGAGGGGATAGACTGATACGCCGTATGCACCCCATGGGCCCGATCCTGAAAAGTGCTGATGGGGCTACCCAGAGGGTGGGGGCAAAAAGGGACAGTTCTCCCCCCCCCCGCCCCCGCAGTTCGCGCTGCCCTCCAAACTCCGTATCGTTGCAACCTGGTGTTCGGGGTCGCAACAAAGCTCAGGTTTGGCCCCACAGCCCCTCCAAGGGGCACCCCCCCCCCAACCTGAGTGGGGTTAAAACCCTGCATGCTGGGTCACAACACCACTCACTGAAATTTGACCCCTCTATCATGATGGAGGAGCCTCCAGGCTAAACCCAACTGGGCCAGGTCACAACCCCCAAGGGATGGGGGGAAAGGGGGCATTTTCCATCTGGAATAAAATGTTTCAATGGAAAAGCTTTGCTGAACTCTAAGAGGAGAACCTCAGCTGCGGCCTCTAGCCACTGATTTCACATTAATGCACCGCTATTTAGTAACGCCACTGTTTTGCACCGAGCTGGGGAGTGTACCTCTCAAACTCCCCAGGCGCAAACCTGGCTGGCTTACCTCCTTGGAGCTCTTTTCATCTGCTGATCTCACACCATGTTATAAAGGTGGGCACGTGTCACTGGCCCACATTTGCCAAAGCGACTAGTGATCCCGGTTGACCTGACTTGAGACACTTTAAAGGAAGATTTTCAGGGAACAGATGCTCTGCACTGTCTGAAAAATCAGCCTCTTTAAGGTGTCTCAGCGTGGGCAGCCAAAATCGCTCCTTGCTTTGGAAAATGTAGACCGTTATCCTCATATTACAGATAGGGAAACTGAGGCACAAATAAATGGGAGTTTGGTCTTTGAACGTCAATCGGGGCTGGGGGGAGGGGCAGGATCAGCCCTACAAAAGGTATCCCATCAGGAATTACCGACCTGTCGATTTCGCTCATCCGTGATCCGCTGGATCTGGATCTTCTTCCTCCCCATCTTCTCCGGAAATCCTCACCGAATGGGGACGACTTTCTTGTGCGGGGGAGGGGGGGAAAATAACCCTGTTTTAAAACGTTTTCATGAACGAATTTTTCGGTAAGTAAAAGTTTTTAAAACCAAAAAACAAACAAAAACTCCGGGTTGCTTCTTTCTCAGTTCATGTTATGCTGCCGTCTGGTTAATTCCAGGCGCTTTGGGCCTCCAGGGGCTGCTTGGAAACCTAGGGAAGAGAGGAAAAAAGGAATTAAAACATTTTTTTCAAGCAAAGCCTTCCTAATTATTCTCGTTCCTATTACCATAGCCCCTAGGAGTTCAGTCACAGACCAGGACCCCATTGTGCTAGGGGTGGTACAAACAGCACAAAAAGACAGTCCCTGAGCCAAACTATGGGAGCACCTATAGGCCCCAGTGGTATCCAGATGCCACAGTGCTAGGTGCTGCACAGACGCACAGTGAGACACCATCCCAGCCCCAAGGAGCTTGCAATCATAATAAAGTCACCAAGAAAATGACCAAAAAAAAAGGACTCCGAGCAAAATTCCTATCCTCAGGACAAACACAACTGCATGAAGATTATTTACCTCGACCCTGGTAACAGAAAGCAGCTAATCTCTCTCTCTCTCTCTCTCTGTTTATACCATGCCCATCACCACTGTGTCTGAGTTCATGTCTACACGACAGACGCGGCTAGCGCTGTAGCACCATAGTGCAGACGCTTCCTGCATCAACGGAAGGCGGATTTCCATTGCTGGAGTTAGCCCACGTCTCCGAGACACAATAGCTAGAATTTTTTGGGAAGAATTTTTCTATCAAGCTTGTTGCACTTGGGGGAGTTGGGGGTGGTGGTGGAGGGGGGACTCAGTTTAATTACACCGCTCAGGGGGTGAAAGGTCAATCTAGGCCTTGCCTAAACACTGCTTGAACTCTACTGTATTATACTGAGTGTAGATGCAGCTATTCTGGTATAAAGGTGCCTATGGTGATATAGTCATTTCCATACAGGAAGGGGACTAGGCTATACCTGTGTAAGTGAGGCTGTACTAGCGGTTGTACTGATATTACGATATCAATTAAAAAAAATCACACACACCCCGAACCAACAGTTATACCAGGACACAACCCGTGTCTAGAGCAGGATCCAGACTGCCTAATTTAAACCCGATCTGTTTGTCCAACCAAGGTCTTTCTTATATCATTGTCTAAAAATCTAGGCAGCCGGCAGACAAATGAAGACTTGGCATAGATTCACCTGTAGTGGTTCCTTACATTTTAATTATTTATTGCGTGCAAGGCCGAGGGGTCGGGACTGAGATGGGGGCCTCACTGAGCCAGGTGCTGTACAAACACATACAGGATTGCCAACTTTCTAATTTCTGAAAACCGGACCCTCCTGCCCCGCCTCTCCCCCCAAGGCCCCGCCCCCTTCTCCACTCCTTCCCTTGAGGCCCCGCCTCCCTGCTCGCTCCTATGCCCTCTCCACCCATCACTCACTGCTCTCCCCCTCCCGCTTGCTCGATTCTTTCCACTTCCTACTCTCCACCCCAGCTGGGCTCCCTCTACTCCGGGGCTGGGATGGGAGCTGCAGCCTGACTCGGAGCCTGCTGCCTACCTGCCCAAAAGATGCAAGTAGTAGGCACCCCTGGCTGAGCAGGGGCTGGTGAGGGTTAATGATCCTGCATCTCCCCCACCTCTGCCCATGCTAACTGGACTTTTCGTGTCCAGTCAGTGCATCTGACTGGACACTGCCAGGTCCCCTTTTTGACCGGACTTTCCGGTTGAAAACTGGACACCTGGCAACCCTACATACACAATCCTTGCCCCAAAAAGTTTACAGTCGAACTAGACACGGCAGACAACAATGCGAGAGAGGGGGCACTCCTGGGGCCGATTTTTATTTACCCTAAGGCCCCTTTATACCTCTCCAGCAGCCGCCGGCCAGGGCAACTGTGCGCCCAATCTCTTGAAATGGGAGTTTTTCGAATGACCCGTGATGCTGCTCATTTCAGACTCTGTCGCATATCACCGTCGAGGGCCCACTGACGCATTTCGACGGCGGGCTACCGGCTCACCACCTGGCTGATGATGACGCTGTTAAATGACTGGGTCCGTTGCACGTGCGCTGATGAGCAGCACGAAGGAGCCTTACAGCGAATGGAAATTTCACTGACACCAGGGCGTATTATCCCCATTTTACAGGGGCGCAGAGTGATTCATGGCCAGCTTTCCAGAAGACCTCAGGTCTCAATCAGGCACCAAATGGAGCAGCGTAGACGTGGACAGTAGGTGCTAAGCCCTTTTGAGAATCTGTCCTTTATTAAGTGCCTAACTGGGAGCTGAAGCACTTTCGAAAATACCCCGAATCACAGGCGCTCAGCAACTCAAACCCTGGCTGCAGGTTATGCAGCAAGGCTGGGACAGAGCAGGGAAGTGAATCTAGGGTCATATCTTAGCCACAAGTTCCACAGGCCTGTTGAGACAGCAGAGAGCCATCCAGGGCACAAACAGGAAGCATTTTTGTACACATGTGAGGGTGGGAGAAGACAGCCATAATAGACCAGTGAATTTCTGTTCTTTTGTGACACTCTGAAAAAGCAGTGTGGGGGGGTTGTTTTTTTTGGTTTTTAAGTCAGTAGAAGTCAAGTGGCCGGTCATTAGCCTGGGTCATTTAAATTCTTCGCCGCTTTCTGCCTGAATCTTCAATTTTGCATTTTTTTTTAAAGGTCTGTGCCTGGACAGCCACAGAAAGGTGTTCCTTAAGGGGCATCAGAGAGAAATTTTTAAAAAGGGGGGGGGGGCAGATGTGTTGTCATTCTTCACACATCACCAAGCAAGGGAATCCCAGCTTTAAGTGTAAAACGCAACCTCGTTCCCAATTACAAAACCAGAACACTAGCTAGCTATTCCTCCTACTCTAGGAAACCTGGGATCCAGTGTGCGGTGAAGAGACAGGTATCAGCTGTGGCGTGGAGAGGAAGGATTTTGGGGGGTGGGGGGGGGGAGAAGCACTAGGCTGTAGGCAATTTGGGTTGTATTCCCAGCTCTGACACAGACTCGATGGACATACCTGCCTGGATCCCTGAGTAATTACTCCGGTGGCGAGGTCCCCTGAGTTGCCACCTGCCACGGCTCTGCTCCCCAAACTAGCTAAAGTTCGCCCAGGTATGGCTCCATGAGCGGCAATCACACCCCCTGACTGCAATGCAGGCACACCCCGCAAGTCACTCTGGGCCTCAGTTCCTTGATCTGTATAAAGGGGATAATTGCACTTCATTGGTTTATTCAGGCTCTGATCCTGCCTTGGGCAGCACACGGGCAGAATGCTGCCGCGGGGAAGTCAGAGCATAAGGCGATCGGAGGCATTTTGATGTCCCCGATCTCACAGTCTTTCGTGTGTTTATCCTCCCAACACTCCCGTGAGGCAGGGCCGTGCTTTCCTCTCCATTTTATAATGGGGAACTGCGGCAGCCCAGTGACTTGACCAAGGTGACACGGGAAGTTTGTGGAAGAGCAGGGACGTAAGCCCAGGTCTCTGGCTGCTGCTCGACCCTCAGCTCACCCTGCCTCTCCTCTCCACGCTCAGCGCTAGCCCTGAATCTCGCCTGCTAAACGGCCCTGGAAAGAGACCTGAACGGCAGAAATCTTCTCAGAGGTTGTTTGGAAGAGGCTGAAGTGACCCAGCAAGGCAAAGCACCAAGCTGTCTAGCATTACAACCAGCCCCAACGAGACAGCGTGTCTCAGCAGGGAGTGGGGCTAAGCGGCATGCAATAGGATTGCAAAGTTGGCAGCTCTTCGTTTTTCTACTAGGCTGAGCTGTTCTCGCTCACCACATCAACCTTAATAGCTCTCGGCCGCTTCTTTTTCAGCCCAAGCGTCGGCTCCCTGGATGGGTTTTGGAGCCCCGCACTGTTCCTTTCTGTGGACGGTAACAACAGCAGGACATTTTTCAAAGTTCAACATTCAGGATTATAATTTTTCCTTGAAATGTCATGTTTTGGTAGGGAAAATGGGGATGAAATTTGTGCCTCTGCTTTTCCCTCTGCTTCTTTTTACAGGGAGCAAGAAAAACAGCAATAATAATATTACATTGTATTACAGCAGTGACTTGAGGGCCTGGATCAGAATCGGGGCTCGTGTGCTAGGTGCTGTACAGAGATAAACACAGTCCCAGCTCTTTCATCCTAAGATCTCCAAGGACTTCACCAATACAATTTCAGCCCTACCACACACAATGACAAAAGGAAGTACTATTTTTTTCCACACAAAGCATCATTAACCTGTGGAACTCATTGCCACAAGATATCAGTGAGGCCAAGCAACTGACCCACTGCTCTACTGTACCAAAACTATGAAGAGAACCTAGGAATGTTGCTTCCTAGGCCCCTGCTCTGACACTAGACCATACTCCCTCCCAGATCCAGAAGAATACTGAGGACTCCCAGTCCCCCTGTCCTAATCACTAGTCTACACCCCCAAAAACCAAGCAATCCCAGCCTTCCCTGCCTTATAAGCTTGCCATGAAGTTTGCCAGTGTCCAATTTATTTCTTCTGCCTCCGTTACTTTAATTCTGGGTAAAAGGGTTTACGTGTATATCTATAAATCACATTTGCTAATAATGCCATAAAAAAATGGCACAGCAGCAGGGCTTCTTTGTCGGTCCTATTGACTCAGGTATCAAAGCATACCAGGGGGAAGATTTCTTCTCCGAAACCCACTATTCATTTTCCATGAAAGAAGAACACTTGGACGGTTAAGACACATGTATTCACAGGAGGCCACAGACATACAAGCAACAAAAAGTTCCTTTTACCTCCCCCGTACCAAGGTTCTTTACAAGGACAAATTGTATTGAAATGACATTTACCAGCTGAACCCCGGTTTTCTTTCTTACATTATTGAAATGTATGCACCTTTCCCGTTGCCGTTAATAAACAGCAGGGCAACTGCAGTCGGCTGGCAATGGAAGAGCGGCAGCAAAAGGGAAGTGGGACCGATATGATCATGTGAGATGGGGGCCCGCTCTATATGATGATAAGATAGGACAGGCCATATGGGACCATTCAAAAAAGCACTAGATAAGCTCATGGAGGATAGGTCCATCAATGGCTATTAGCCAGGATGGGCAGGGATGGTGTCCTTACCTCTGTTTGCCAGAAGCTGGGAATGGGTGACAGGGGATGGATCACTTGATGATTCCCTGTTCTGTTCATTCCCTCTGGGG